TCTTCATTTTCCTTACTTACCTCGACCCTGCCTCGCAAGATCGCCATTCTCTGTCGCCGAAGCAGCAGCAGCCCGCCTCGCCATTCTCTGTGGCTGAAGCAACAGCTGCAGCTAGCCTCTCCATTCTTAGTCGTTGACATCCCTCTGTTTACCAAAGGTATAAATAGATTTTCAAATATATTTATTATTTTTCTCCTCATCTTTTGTCTCCTTCAAGCGATTATTCCTCTTCTTTTGCCTCCTTCACACGGTGATGTACAACCTATAACATTTGGGATGGATCATATGTCGCTTCTCTGTATTTCTCTCATTTTTCTGTGGAGACTCGCATACTATCAGTGCTTTCTTAGTAGTGCAATTTCTAAAATCTAGCATTTTCTTATTCTATATTTTAATTTTGACTTTAATTTTGTATTCCTGCTTGTTTAGATAATACAGTTAAAATAGAGAATTACATACATTGAAATTACTTTTGAATTCTAGATAATATCTACTGAGGTGTATTACAGACATTAGTCTACATACAATACTTTTAAAATTATATTTTTCAAACATGTCAACTTTTTCAGAAGTACCATCTTTTGAACCGTAGATTTTTCACTGTAGCTTTTAATCTAAAATTTCGTACAGTCACAATCAAAACAAACACACTCTAAATTGTATGCTAAGGACCGTTTGACGTCTTGTTTTTTTTATTTTTTGTTTTTGTTTTTGTTTTGTTTTTTATTTTAAAAATATGTTTATTTAGCCCATTTTTTGCATGGTTCTATTTTATGTTTTAAAAAATAAGTTAGTTAATTTTTAAAAGCACGCTAAACTCCTAAATAAATTTTTTGAGTGTTTTTAAAAAAGTTAAATATTTTATAATAAATCAAATATGTTCTATTTTAAGTAAAAATAAAAAACAAGCCTACATAAAAAAAAGGAAATAAAAATCAAAAGTGACCCCGAACGGCTCCCAAGTGTTTAAACATGTGAGGGTATATTGAATGAATTTATCAATGTGAATTGATTAACTCTACTTCACTTAGCTAATGGAATTAATCCACTGTCACTAAGCTGCACGAGTTTCTAAGTATTGAAAGCAAAGATATGGTGAGATACAAAAATCAATGTTTAAGGCTTTGTTTGGCGCAACTGCAGCTTTTTAACTGCAGCTACACTGCCCCAAGAAGCTGTTGCGGGGAAGCTGGTTGTCTGTTTGTTGCAGCTGTGTGAAAACAGCTGTAAGGTAGTTGTTTCTGGAAAAATAACCATTATGCCCTTATTTAGTAAAGTTGTTTAAAACAGAACTATGACAGCGACATATTTGATAATTCAAAAACAGAAATTCATTTAAAAACATAACAAAAGTACGAATACACCACTCACTTAACAGTGAGTATCAAAAGTGCTAAGAAAGTTTGTCTTTTCACATGTATACTAATTTCATTTTCCAACATGAAGAAGAAAATTGTTACTAAAATCTTAAAAGTTTGCCTTTTTACAAAGAGAAGGTTGTTTCTCTTGAAGCTGCAATTTTCCCATCAAGCTGAATAACATCAATTCCAATGTATTTACACATCTAACACCAAAAACATACTACATTGAAAGCTTTGCTAATCACTCTACTTGGAAATTTAATTTTTTTCCCTGCTATATAACACTGAATAACCAGGAAAAAAAATCACAATCCACAAAGACTCGAGTTGAATATTATAAAGATAACTTGTGGAATAATTTTTGTGCAAAAAATAATTAATAAATAAGACTTATAACATAAAAAAAGCATCAAGTTGTTTGTTGATTTAAAAAAATGATTAACATGAGCCATGCAACAAGCATCAAGATCATGGCAGGGCTTCTCTCCAGGGCAACCACTCCACCCCACACCACAGAACTTTCAATATCAAATTCCAAAAGCTGAAACATTACAGGAAAATTGAAGAAGATTTTATCAGTCTTCTGAACATTTAAGCAAGATAGCTTAAATCCTATCAACTAGAACTTAGCTAAATTTTAATCCAACTGCTTGTATAAATCCTAATTCACTCGATATTGCTTAAATCCAATATTTGTTAAAGAGTTTCTCCTCTCATAACTCTTAAATTCATAAACAAACAGTCAAACAATTTTTTTAGAATTTAATCTTTATATCTAGATTTGTAAAATCTATTAAATCCTGCTTAGTTATACCCAGCTAGTTGCCAAACAACCCTTAAAAAAGGCGAAATTAGAAGCCCAAATAGAAGAAAAGAAAAAGAAAAAAACTCACTGTCACAATTCTCCCCGCGGCGCAATATCTACTGCAACTTCCCTGCAAATATGACAATATTCTATCACTATCACAAAAACTCACTGAAGCAGCGGGTAGGGGCAGGGGGCGAAGGAGCACAGGGGGAAGAACGAGCGAGGGGCCTTGATGCTTGATGCTTTACAATTTATAAAATAGAAGTATTCTTTGGGTCTTATAAATGTAAAACATATCTAAACTTGATGCTTTACCATTTAGCGATGGGGAAGTAGTGCAGGGGGCTTCACGATGATGCTTCGAGGGGCCTTGACGCTTCACGAGACGATCGAGAGCAGCGGACCAGCGAGGGTTGTGTGAGAGGAGGACGACCTTCGGAGAAGAAGAGGAAGGGGGAGAAGTTTGACGTCTGCGAGGACGAGAATCCGGGCCGGAATTTATTGGATGGGGGAACACGAAGAAGAGGGCACGGGGGTAAAAAGAAGGAAGACGAAGCTGGGACGCGAGTCTGTGGGAGCTTTCCGCGTTCGGGGAATATCAAGGCACGCCTCAGTGGAAACGCCGCGCCAAACGGCAGAAAAATGCGGCCTGGTGCCGTGCCGCAGTTCTGCCGCCGCCCCAAACAGAGCCTAAGGTAGGCACTTAGGTGCGAGTCTTAAACTTGAAGCACAATGCAAATGGAAATTTGCACAGAAGCACGTATCAATAATTTCATTATCCAATAAGTCAATTAAGCACAAGATCTTTAAATTAATTTTCTAACTAGATCAATTTCGCTCAAGTTTTGAAATAAATCATAAATTAGTAAACTGGAATAATTAACGCTAAAGTTTAGATGAAGTTAGATTCTATATTTATATGTGGTCCGTTTATCCTATCGGTCTACACCTATGCGTAGTTTCCTTCCAAGGACTACAATTCCCACTAACCAAGCCTGTCAACACAAGAAAAACATTTAGCTGCCGAGTGCAATCCAAATGCTTAACCTTAATTATAAAACAAATTAGTCTGAATATTATGTCATCTGTATTTAAATATTTCATGCATTTTAAAAGGCATCGTCGAGATGAGATTCTACCTTTTGAAGGAAGTGTGGTTCTGTGGTAGTTTCATTTTTGTAAGATTTACTTACACACCACTTAATTTCTACGCATTTAAATATCTAACACCTAAACTTTAATTTTTACATGTCACCTTTCCTATGTGTGAAAATGTGTATTTCACTTTTTAAAAGTTAAAATAGTTGTATTTTCTTATGTGATATGAAATATTTGGGTAGTATAAATGTAAAAAGTAAGTTTAGTTGTTAGATACGTAAATACATAAGAATTGGGTGGTATGTAACTTCCCGTTTATTTTTTTGTTTTTTCAGCTCGGAAGTAATGATTATTGCATTTCATCTAATGGTGCAGAGAATGGTCATTTTTACAGTTTATATTGTATCTCTTTTGTATAGATCTAATTTTTAAAAATACTTGCAAGGACATGTATGTTTGGGTTCACCTCTTTACTAGTGGTTAATCAGTGCTTACTTTTACGGAGGAGCGTTCGTGCTTGTCTTTTAGAAATTGTTACATAACATTTGAGATCTTGTTATATAGCAAGAAATTGAGTTATATCTAGGGGTGTGCATTAATTGGTTTAAACCAAAAAAAAAAATCGAACCAGGCTTTTTTGATTGATTTGGTTCAGTTGATGAAATCACAAATAGGTTTATGGTTCCAATTTAAGGGTTATTTGAATTTTGTTTTTTGCTCGGCTTGAAAAAAAAATAAAAAATTTGTTAAACCTAAAAACTGAATATATTACAGTTAAAGTATGAACCAATCTGTTAAATTCTTTTAGAATGTCAGGTCCCGTGTAGATCGTGAATTTATACATTCAGGGAGAGTCCTTGTGAGATGAGTAGAGGAGGTGAAGAGGGATAGAGTCGTAGGTCCTTCTTCCCCCTTCGTTTTGCCTCCTTTATATCTCTTGTAAGGTGTCTTTGCTCTCATAGGGATACAGAAAGAGAAAAGAATAAAAAAATGTTACATTATAGGCCATACTGTACGCAATTCACTGAAATTTGTTGTTGAAAAGATATCGCCATCGATGTCAGGCAGCTCATAAATGGGCATAGATGATGATGGGTCAAAGTCTCCTTTATGCTGCCATGCTGGCGACATCAAAGTATCAGTAAATGACCTTGATGGTGAAGCTTGAGAAGTGCAGATGAGCTCAACGAATAGGCTCGGCGAGTATGGGTGAGCTTGGCGGAAGAGCTCGATAGGTTCAGGCAAACTTGGCTGAGGAGCCTGCTAGTTCGCTAGATCTTCTGGAGAGATAGTTCTTGTGGTCATCTCACTTCAATGGATGCGGTCATTGAGTGTGATCAGTCTGAGAAGAGTAGACTTCAGGTTCATGATGAGAATGAGCAATCCAATAGGCCAAGAGGCTCACTTCACATATGGACTTCCTTGGTAGCTTGAAAAATTCACTTTTGAATGTACACAATCAATCTGAATTGACTGAATGCACACTAATGTATTAGAATTTCAAAATTCGGTTAAAACAAATCCTATCCAAATAAACCAAACTTTATTTTGATTTGGTTCGGTTTCATATCATGTTTTTGGTCGGTTCGGTTTTGTCTATTATTTGATTTGATATAATTGATTTCATAAAATTTTCAACCGATTTTACCAAATGATTGGCACAGCCCTAGTTATATATCCTTAGACATGATTGATAGGAGTCATATTTTCATCATTACTAATCGAAGTTACAGATTATGTATTGCTATGCAGTGAATGGGAAATGTGAACTTCCTGCACATCTCTGGTTGACAGGATGCAATGGTGAAATAGGAAACCAATTACAAAGGCTTCCTGGATATGATAAGTGGATTATTGAAAAGGAGAACAGGTCTTATATTGAAGCATTTCAAGATCATAAAGAGATGCTTGTTTATTTAACAGCTGATGCAGAGACCGCCCTTGAGGAGCTTGATTCAGACAGAATTTATATCATTGGTGGGCTGGTTGATCGGAACAGATGGAAAGGTGTCACGATGAAGAAAGCGAACGAACAAGGGATCCAATCGGCAAGGCTTCCCATTGGAAATTACGTGAAGTTAGCAAGTTCACAGGTTTTTTTTGATTTCTTTCCTCAACTGAAATAAATCTTTATTTACCTTTCGAAGTTTTCATTATCTTTTGATGAAATATTTTAATTAAATTTGTTCTCATGTTTTATTAAATGCATACTCTGTCTTCATGAATGACTCTAATTAATATTCCATGAACTGTTTTTCACACTTCTTTGTTCTCGAAATTTGCAAATAGGTTGTTTTTGTTTGGGTACTTCTTTTTCAGACATGTTAAACTATTGTTTATGAATTCGTTTCAAATTTTATTTACATTTCATTTGTGCCTTCATTTACCATCTCTTTGAGTCATGCCCTGTCTCCTATTTTAGATAAAAAACTTGACAGCATATTGTGCACTTGTCTGATGAAAATTTCCATCAGCAGTTTCATTCGCCCAATATGATCCTTCCAAAAAAATGCCACATTGATGAAATCTATTTATGAAACATGCTTAAGATACAGCATATAGATATGATATGGTATTGATAAGTAAATGACATTAATCTTAAAGAACAGATGATATAGATATTACTGGTCCCATGTTTGAATTTTTTCATTTCAAATTTTGTAAATTTATGTTGATGCACATTCGTTCATTTTTATGAATCTATGTATATCAATATTGGTTTGTATGCATGCAAACTTCGGCATCATAACAGTTGCTTCTTTTTTTTTTTTTCATTTAAAAGTTGAGTATGTTAGAATACATGGTATATGACCATAGGTTTTGTTTCCAGCTTGGTACTTGTCTTTTACATTCAATCAAATGCAGTAATATTTGATATTGCAAACATCTATCGTGTTAAGACTTAGTAGTGATATATATATGACTACTACAGGTTCTTACCGTTAATCAAGTCGTTGAGATACTGCTGAAGTTCGTAGAAACACGAGACTGGAAAAGTGCATTCTTTAGCGTGATTCCACAGAGGAAAAGAGGTGCTGTTGAAACTGAAGGTGTTGAGACTGTCAGTGCTGCAAAATTTGACGCAGAATGCAAAAATGGCTTATTAGAAGCTGATGCCGAGGAGGAAGTCGAAGAGGCATATAATAATAATGTTATCAGCACAAAAAAACAACGCTCTGAGCCTAAAAATGAAGAAGCTGGTGTAATATAAGCCACTGCAGGTTAGAGACGGTTGATGACAATGAAACCTTGTAATCTGATTCCATTACTTCAGAGATAATTTTAAACTAATGCAAGTCTGAGCAGTTAATTTTTCTGCCACAGTGTTGTGGTTGTACTATTTATAGGTAATTCTGGTGAAGAAAATTGATCTGGTCCTCATTTTAATGGAGGGAGAAGAATGTTATTGTATTGTGCAATTGCCATTCTAAGAATTTCTGACAGTTTGGCCTCGGTTGTGAGGTGTATTTTTTTTTAGAAAAAATTACATACGTACCACTCGATTCTTATGTATTACATATCCAACATTTCAATTTTTACATATATGCTGCTTCATCTATGCATGAAAGGTGTATTTTCACTTTTTAAGTTAAAATAGTGATATTTTTTATGTGATATGAGAACTTTGGATGGTACAAATGTAAAAAAGTAAAATTTAGATGTTACATATGTAAATACATACGAATTGCGTTTTGGTTTAACTTGACTATATTGGCTTAAATTCTTGGCCTCATAATGCTGCTGATGCTCTTATTTTAGGTCCTCATATCCACCAGCTCTTTACTCTGGAATGGTTCTCAAATCTTAACTTTGTATTTGGCAGCATAGAGATCGAGATTATTAGTTTGTTGTGCTAGCCAGATGAATAAGACACGTTATTATCATCTAGGGGAGGCTGGGAGTTGTAGGATAATTTATGTTGTTCTAATATATTTTTTAGTTGATGTGTCATGCTTTAAAATTATGGGAGAGGGTAATTGAACATAGTTTAAGACGTATTGTAAAGATTTCTCATGATCATTTTGGATTTATGTTGGGTGGAACTGCTATGGAAGCTATATATTTATTGAGAGGTTTGATGGAGAAGTTCAGAATAAGGATGATCGACATATGGTTTTTATTGATTTAGAGACAGCTTACGATAAGGTTCCAAGAGATATCCTTTGGTGAGTTCTAGAGAAAAAAAGGTATTGATATGGACTTATATTCAAGTCATTAAAGATATGCATATGGAGTTGTTATTTGTGTTTATGGGAGCATTGATATGGGCGCATTGATGAAATATTTTCCCATTTCAATTGGATTACATCAGGGATTAGATTTAAGGCCATATCATTTTGCTTTAGTTATGGATGCTCTTATTGGACATTTACAGAAAAATGTACCCTGGTGTATGTTTTTCCCTGTTGATATCATTTCATGGATAAAATTAGAGAAAAAGCTCGGGAAAAATTTGAATTATGTAGGTCTACATTGGAGTCTAAAGGTCTTCATTTGAGTAGAACTAAAACTGAATAAATGGAATGTAATTTTAGTAGTAGTAGCTCTAGTGACAGAGTTGTAATTATTGGTGATCAAATTATTAAAAGGTGTGAACACTTTAGATATCTCTGGTCTATTGTTCAAAGGATGTTATTAGTATAATTCAAGTTGGTTGGTTGAAGTTGAGGAATGCTTCAAGCCTATTGTATGATAGAAAAGTACTGCTTAGACTGAAAGGAAAATTTTATAAGATGGTGGTAAGACCTGCAATGCTCTATGGTGTTGAAGGTTGGCTTTTAAAAGAGAAGATAAAACTAAGTGAAGTGTTGTTGAGATGAGAATGACCAGATCGTTTCCTTATCTAATATGAAGATTAGACAAAGTTTAAATTATCTGGGTTATTAATTCTCTTATAGATGCAAGCCCCTGTAGTTAATTATATCTTAAGAAACTAAAATTACTTAAGAAAACTCTCGATTAAGATCAGAGTATCGTTTTCAAGAATTCAATATTTAGTTTTCATGATTGGTCATAGGAAAATCAAGTGAGAATGACTCAACGTGGAACATTTATTTTAGAATCCAAAGGGGCGAAATGTAGGGGATGTCATATATTCTGAGAAAACCTCAGTGACTTCTCAAAACTATCCTATTTTGTGGCTTTACATTCTCGACATGATGTTATTTGATGTTTACTCATGTCATTTTATTTTAAATCTAGAATTTACATTATGCGTCATACAATCAATACAGACAGCCTAGAAAGATAGAAGGATTCATGTCATACCGAACAAGCAACCTCAAAATCCTAAAGGGAGTTAGGGCTTACATCTCATGATATACAATCATGCGATAGCCTAATGATAGTGTTAGGATTTACGTCATGCTAGACAAACAACCTCAAAGTCCTAAGGTTTTATGTTGTTTAAGTCTATGAAAAGTTTAATTGAGGATCATCCTTCACTTCATGTTTTGGTCTTGATCGTCGCGTGAAGTTTGACTATCGCTCAATCGCGTTGTCGTCTTGTTCTGTGAAAACATAAGAGAACAGAGAAACCATGTCTCAGGTGGTTTATCCTAGGTTCTTTGTTTGATTGGTGTGATTAACTTAAATTAACTTTATTATTAGGTCTTAAGAATAACTGAATGTTTTTGTCAAGCTAGTGTATTGGCATAGGGTTTCAACCTAAGCATATGTCCTGCATCCTCAACCTTAGGGTTCCCTTTTCACATGTCACAAACGTAGCAAATAAAAGAAAAACAATATGCACATCTGAAAGAGCACATATAATCAAGTACAACAAATAAGAAAGTAGCAGAAGGTACCTGCCGCCTTTGATGCTATTTCAAAAAGAAGTTGAATTTGTGTTAAACATGTAAATATATGAGAATTTAGCAATCGTTGAATGTTTTAAAATTTAAATGTGAAGTATATTAAAACATAAGCATGCGTATTTATATGGAGTAAAGCGGTAGATATATGAAAAATTAGAATTGGATATAAATATTTATGAGTTAGGGGTTGGCTCAACTTCAGGGCTTCAACCATAATAACCCATTATGAGGGGTTTCCATAAGCAATCCGAGCATCAATGTGCATAAACCAACCCTAATTAGAAGTCACTAGCAATAAAATCAAGGGAGAGCAACCCAAACAAAAATGACTGACAATTAGACATCTAAAAAAATAACGCTAAAAAATCTCAGTCATCATCCATAAAAGTCAATTAAACTTTTGGTTAGAGCTACCAACAGCCCAAGTTAATAAAAAATAGCACCACATATAAAAAGGTTTTCAATCAAATAAACCACAAGTCATTCAAATTATGGGCTATAGCTGCCAGCTACCCAAGAATGAAAGGGCAACTTTAAACTAATCGTTGATGAATATTTATGCAAACGCGGGCTGACTGGTTCCGCGGATCCGTCGAAAAGCCACGAGGCGCGCTCCCATTCGACGCCGCCTTCTGAGTCAACTGCCAAAGGGAAGTATTTAACTTGATACGTAAATCACCTTCATTTAACCCATCAATATTTCTTAAGAATTCCTATTTAGTTGATTAATTTCATAATTTATATTTTTATCTTTAAATAAATGAAAGACAACTTGGGGCATTTTTTGTAATTTCAAAGAAACTTGCATATACACCCAAAAATTAGGTTGAAACTCAGAAATTCTTGTTGTGCTTTGTTGGTTATGTCTGACAAAGACTTTCATTTTGAACTTTAGTGATTTTGAGTTGTACAAGAGAAATTTTTAATTTATGACGGTAAATTCGTAATTTATGACATGTCATTGATCTTACCATCTTATGATCATATGAGTCCTTCCAACTTATGGTGAAGAGTGTAAATCAACAACTTAAACAATTCAAACTATATTGCCCTCCACTTAGTCATCCAAACATTTATATCTCCTAATCTTCATCAATTCCCAAAATTTACATTTTTATCTTTATATAATTTTTTAATAACTTAATGACTGCCCTAATTACCTCATTACATTTCAAACACTTCGGTAAATATCTTATAAAAAATTTTACCCTTTTACCCTCTGATTTACCCTAGAAATTGTAAAATGAGAGCTATAATGTGTAAATTGAGTATTTGCAATTACCCCTTAGGGTAAACACCTTGTTAAGTCTTACACCATGACTCCATTCAGTGTTAGACCTCTTTAGTCATTCACCCATAGGCTAATTGACATTTTAGAAGTGATTTGATATTTTTTTGAAATATATTTTATTTTTTATATTTATTCAAATTAGCAATTGTGAGATTATAAGGAAAATACATTTAGCTATTTAAAATAAAAATATTACAAAGGCATCCTCTAGCTGTTATCTTTGATTAGGGAAAAACATATGCCATTTTAATTTATGTTTAAATTTTTATAATTTTTCATCATTTTTAATATAAAAAATCGCTTGACATTCATTTTAATAATATTTATATTTCATTTTCATTTTTCTTAGATGCCTCTGATCTCTCTAAGCCTACCACAGTTTGGTTTCATTCTTCTGATTTTTATTTTATTTTTTATAATTTTTTTATTAAAATAGTGTTAAATGACATTAAAAATTAGGGCTTTTAGCGTTAGAGGGGCCCTCTGCCTTGGAAAAATCAGAGGACATCCATAAATACAGGAGCAATGATCCCTCAAAATTTAATGTCCTAATATTTTATAATTAATTTCTAATAGTTAAACTACCCTCTGGAGTATTTAATTAATTAGAAATTAAATATAAAATAAATATTCCTATTTTTATTTTTATTAATTTTCCCTCTGTTCACTGAGTCTAGAGGTATTTTCATTTTGTTTTTATGATTTTTCTTTGTTGAGATATGAATTCTTGAAGATATTATGCATTTTTTGCATTTAAATAAATAAAAAACACCTTATTTTCCTACTTAACCATGTCGGACGCGTCGAAGTACAACACGTCATTTGCTGATTCACTATGTTTTACACCACAATAGTTGACTCAGTCGGCTCTACGGTGTTCTAATCTGAACTGTTGCGCCGTCCGACCCGATCCGCATTGTTCATTTCGAATACATAGAAATGGATGTCATCCATTCGTCATCCCCACAGGGGTATAAATTGAGAATCATCCACATTTTAACCCTAATATCTTGTTCGATTCTCAACCAAATTACATGGGGTTGGTTCCTATACCTTCATCTAAGTTAGATGAACTTATCTATATGGCTAGGTGGGCAGAAATTATTGAGTCTCTTCACAAAGGCCAAAATCAAGATAAATTTACGAGTTTTGAATCTGTATCTTCATCCAAGAGGCGAGGCCTCGATTAGAATGGTTTAGAAGCTTTGTGTAGATGCGGTGCACCACCTCCTTGCTACAATTTGCACTAAGATTGAGCCTAGGCATGAACTCGACCAAAAGGTGACTCAAGTTTGGTTAAGAACTAGGTTAGAGGCCACGAAAGGGGTGGATTTTTATTAATGAAGTAGTTATATTCTCTGGGGAAGCTTTTGGAAGGTTCAAAATGGAGTATTGGATGATTTTGTGTTATGA